GGGCCGCCGCACCGCGCCGACCCGTCAAGCCTCGCTGCCCCCTCTGCGGGGGGAATGGGGGCAGCAGCGGGGCCGCCCTCGGCGTGGGTGGGAGTCGAACATCGTCCTGGGGCCAGCGCTGGGGCGCAGGGCCGTGGCGTCCGAGGCAAAGTCTGGGCGCCACGGCGCCCGGCGGATGGGCCAGTGTGTCGGTCTCCAGCCTCAGTTTTCCTGCTGTGAAAGGAGCGTGACTCCTCCTCAGCTCCTGAACCTGGCATCGCGGGGAGGGCGTTGTGTTCAGAGCGGTGTAGACAGAGGGCCGGGGTCCCTAAAGCGTGTAAGACGTGTGTCCTGGGCCAAATTTGCGTTGTCCGGGAAACGGGTGCCCAGGTGGGTGAGTCCTCGCACGTGGGGTTCACATTGGTTCTGCCCGGGAAAGGGGGAGTCAGGTTTTTTCCTTTTCTTTTTTTGAGTTGGGGGTCTCACTCTGTCGCCCAGGCTGGAGTGCAGGGGCACGATCACGGCCACCGCAGCCTCGACCTGCTGGGCTCTAGTGAAGCTCTCGCCTCCGTCTTACAAGAAGCTGGAACCACAGGCGTGCACTGCCACGCCCGGCTAATTTTTGATTTATTGTAGAAACGAAGTCTCACCAAGTGACCCAGGCTGGTCTCGAACCCTTGAGCTCAGGCAACCCTCTTGCCTTGGCCTCCCAAAGTGCTGGGGTGTCAGGTGTGAGCCACCGCGCCCGGCGGGAGTCAGATTTTCTGAAGGGGGATTAGTAGCAAGAGTCAGGCTTTGTCTTGAGGAAGGAAGGTTCCTGATGTGTGGACAGAGCCCAGAGAGAGTTGATGGCAAACCCCAGGAGGGAATTCAACACAGATGCAGGTTCTCCTGGAGATGCCTTTGCAGAGAGGTGAATCATGCTCTCCTTCCTTTATCTAAGTGATGTGTGTCAGGTGGGAAGGTGAGTTATGTGTTGTGGGGTTTATTTTTTTTAAAAAAGGGTCTGACGGCACTGCTTGGCCTCTTAGGACTTTGGCGAGAGGGAAAAAAGGCCCGGGTTTGGTCCTGGGCAGGAAGTAGGAGCAGACTCGGGTGCTCGTGGCTGTTCTCTGTTGCCAGGAGACACGGGTGGTCATTGATGGAGGTGGCCCCTTTCTGCTGGGTCCCAGGCTTTGCACCTGTGAACAGGGAGCTTTGCTGGTCCAAACCTTTAGGCTGCAGCTGGGGAAACTGGGGCAGGGAGGTCCTGGGTCACGGGACGGGGAATGGTGGCCAGGCGTGAGCTGGAGGGAGGTTGCAGCCTGGACACGCCTGTCCTGAGGCACTTCCCGTGCTCCCTGCGTGCTGTGGGTGAGCCTGCGGGGCTGTGGCCGCTGTGGCCGGGCGTGGGGGGTTGAGGTGAGCCTGGCCTCCTGTCTTCCAGCTGCGGGAGTACAAGGTGGTGGGGCGCTGCCTGCCCACCCCCAAGTGCCACACGCCCCCGCTGTACCGCATGCGCATCTTCGCCCCCAACCATGTGGTCGCCAAGTCCCGCTTCTGGTATTTTGTGTCCCAGCTGAAGAAGATGAAGAAGTCCTCGGGGGAGATCGTCTACTGCGGGCAGGTAGACGCGGGGGGACTGTGGGGGCCTGGCCTTGAGGGCATCACAGTTTGCATTCAGGGCCAGGTTTCAGGAGGAGGTGGCTGGCGGGCATGGCGGAGGCCTAGGCTGAGGCCAGCCTCTTCCTGGGGCTGCAGCTGGCAACCGGGGAGGGGCTGGCAATTGGGCACCTGGGGAGCCATCTGGGCCTGTGTTGGTCTCTGAGTGTTTCCCTGGCAGAGGAGGCTCCAGGAGGGCCCAGGAGGCCTGGGCTGGGCTGTCCTATGGGGCAGGGGCGGGCCCGCGGGCCACCCTCCTTGTCCTGTCCTGTCCGCGCAGGTGTTCGAGAAGTCCCCCCTGCGAGTGAAGAACTTCGGCATCTGGCTGCGCTATGACTCGCGCAGCGGCACCCACAACATGTACCGCGAGTACCGCGACCTGACCACCGCGGGGGCCGTCACCCAGTGCTGTAAGCTGGGCCGCCGCCGGGGCAGAGGGGGGGGAGGCCGCTGGGCCCAGCCAGGCTGGGTCATCCTCACACCTGCGCCTGCCCTTTTGGGGTCCCCCTGACCCACTTGGAGCCCGTGTGGCCCTGGTGATGGCATCTGGCCTCAGAGGCCCAAAATCGTCCCAGGAGGTCACTGCCGGGGCCCCGGCCTCCCCACCGGCACCTCAACCCAAGAACTGCTGTTTCCTGTAGCGGTGGTTTAAACAGGGGTGCACACAGCAAGTGGATCCCGTCGCCTTTGGGGGCTGTGGCTGTGCCCCTCAAAGTGAAAGTGGAGGTCCCACATCCCTTGTGGCCACTCCGGCCTGGGTCAGGCCAGGGCCCGCAGAGGCTGGGCAAGGCTGTGGGGGCCTGGCCGGCTGGCCGCGAGCACATGGCCCATGCCCGGGTCCAGCTGCTGCAGCCGTCCGCCTCCCCCACAGACCGAGACATGGGTGCCCGGCACCGCGCCCGTGCCCACTCCATCCAGATCATGAAGGTGGAGGAGATCGCCGCCAGCAAGTGCCGCCGGCCTGCGGTCAAGCAGTTCCACGTGAGTGCCAGCCTGGGAGGCAGGGGCTCTGACGCAGGGGCCCGGCGGGGCAGCCACGCCTCAGTGCCCCAAGGACGAGGCTGAGAGGCCGGCGCCCGCTCACCCTCTCTCCCCTGCAGGACTCCAAGATCAAGTTCCCGCTGCCCCACCGTGTCCTACGTCGCCAGCACAAGCCGCGCTTTACCACCAAGAGGCCCAACACCTTCTTCTAGGGCCTCCCGGCCCCCAATAAACCCAGAACACCCGGGTGCCCGTGTTGTTTTATTGCATGCACTGCAGCACTCACAAGGGCGTAGAGAGGCAGCAGGCTGCCCCCCTGGGGCGCAGCTGGGTTGCCACTTCTCTGTCCTGGGGGTAATCTTCTGCGAACAAGCCCCTGTCCTCCCTGGGAGTGGCCTGAGGATGAGGGCTGGGCCCGGCTCTGCGCTCCCTCCAGCTTGCTCAGCCAGCCTTCTCCCCCCCCTCCCGTGAGGAGGGGTCCTGGGGCTTAGTGCAAGCCCCCAGGGAGAATCCTTGGCTTCGTAATGCCGGTTCTCGGAGAAGCCCCGGGGGTGCCGCCTTCTGACTGCAGTTCTGGACCCTCTGCTCCTGGGGCCTCTTGGACGAGGGCCTTGGCTAGGGACGGCAGTCTCACCACCAGCACCGTCTCCAGGAAACCACTTCAGGCTTAGAAAGATCCAGGTGGGGAGCTAATCCCCTGCCCGGGGGTGGCTGAACCCCTCGCCAGGTGGGGCTAAGCCGGAGCACAGGAGCTTGAGACCCAGCCAGAAGCCCGGACTGTGGCACCTCCCGGCTGCCAGCCCTGGCGTCTTCGCCTGGAGGTGGGGATTCTGGGGTGTTCAGGCCACAGAACCCCCCTCTGCCCCAGAGAGCCACGGGTGGGGGGAGACGGGGATAAAGCAGCCTCCCCTCCCTCCGTGGGAAGCCTGTTGGTTTCTAGAAAACCAGGCCGCTTCATCCTCATCCAATAGGGGTTGGGCCCCTACGGTCTCGGAGACACACCCAGACCCCAGGCAGGGCTGGACAGGAGCAGCCTTTCTGGGAGAAGACCGAGGGGGGACCCCTTCGGGCCACCACCCGCCTACGCAGCTGGCTCTTTCCGACCCCAGGCCCTTGGCCTGTGCTGGATGCTTCACTGGAACGCGGCTCAGGTGGCCACTGGCTTAACCTCGTGTGGGGTTGTGAGCTGCGTAGACAGTCTCTCACTGTGCTTCTGTCACCTGCTGTGTCCCCAAGGGCCTCAAGCCTTAACTGAGTGGTGGGCAGACAAGTAGAGCCCCCCAGAGGCAGGCGGTGCGTGCCTGCACCGTGTGGCCTGGCGCCTTGCTGGGCCAGGCTGCGTCTTGATGCCAGTGGCTTCCTGTAGGTGAGCGCCAAGGACGGCAAGCATGAGGCTGGTTCCCTCCAGGCTCTGCCCTGCGCTGCACTCGGCCCAAAGGAAGCAGGGTTGGTGTTGCTTTTGCGCAGAGGTGGGCCTCGCTCTGGCTCTAGTTGGCCTTGGTGGCCGCTCACCACAGCCTCCACCTGGGCTCTAGCCATCCTCCTTCCCGGGCCTCCTGAGCAGCTGGGACTGGAGGGTACTGCCTTTTCGTTGGCTTCTCTGTGCGGCTGAACACATTCAGAGCTGTGAGTAGCACCTGCTCCACCTCTGGTGGCTCATGCTCTTGATACGTGAGCCAAGAGCTTGGGGCAGTCTCAGTCTTTGGCTGGGATGTCTTTTCACGCCCCCCGGGAGCACGCTTAGGGGGTGGCACAGCTGCTTTTCCAGCAATAGGGTCTCCATGTTCCAGCACTGCCTGCAGAGGGGAGGACCCTTTCCGGCTTCCGTGTCAGTTGGGTGCCTGCAAGCTTGAGGTGTTGGAGCTGCCTCCCTGAGGACTTGCGGCGCAGCCGTCGGGCTCCAGCAGCCAAGGCCGCCCGCCCTGCACAAGGCTTTTCCTTCCCCGCCCGTCTCCAGGCCCGAGCCTGCCACCTCCGAGGTGGGAGGCCAGGGAGCTGCCCCAGGAGGACAGGTGTCGCCACGGCCTGGGGTGGGGGTGTCTGTGGGCGAGAGCTGAGAGGCTCGCCTCGTCTGGGGAGTGCGAGAGGTGGGAGGGGGCGGAAGGCTGGACCCTCCGTGTGCCGGCCCGAGGTGACTCCTGGAGAGCTGCCAGCTCGCTGCGGGTCTTAACCCACCACCCGTCGGTGTGAAGGCCCCCGCGGGTCCCCTCCTGTCGACTTCCCACCTGCTCCCTGGTCGCCCACCCGCCGCCAGCATCTGTCCATTGTGCCTCTGTCCAGCCGCCCATGGGTCGTACGGCCCTCCGCCTGGCCTCTGCCCTCCTGTCCCTTTGACTCGCCTCAGTCCCGAGCCCCTGCTTTGCGCTAGATCTGGCGACGGCGACTGAAGACTGACGACCCTGGTCCTTCCCCGGGGGGCGGGGCAGCCACAAGCACGGGCAGAGGCCGGGTGCGGGCCACCTGTAATCCGACTGCCCGAGCCCAGCCTGGGCAGCATACCGAGACTCTTCTCTGCAGAAAGCAGAAAACATGAGCTGGGCCGGGCGGTGCGCTCCTGCAGTCCCAGCGACTCGGGAGACCGGGGAAGGGTCGCCTGAGCCCAGGTTAAGGCTGGGGCCCACGGCCACGTGCCACTGCGCTGCAGCCCGGGCCGAGGGCAGGCTCCTGCCTCAAACCGCAGAGTCCCAGGGGCCGTGCCGGGCAGGCGGCG